AGGGTTTGGTAGGTTGTAGTCTAAATTCTGCTACCCCCTAGGGCCTCAGTTTCTCTACCTGGGATCACTATGACAGACTTGAGGAAATCCCCTTCCCCACGATCTTGAGATTCTGTCATTTCTCTGATCTTACAAAAAAAAAAAAAAAAAAAAAAAAAAAAAAAAACCAAACCGCTCTGCTCACAGTCCCTGGAAGATCTAGCAATACAAGGAGGATTAACCTGGGGGCAAATGTGTCTTTATGAGTTGCTAACGTGTGCTTTTTATGTATCTTTTTCAGCTCGAGCCCCAGACAGCAGCAGTGAAGGTTTTGGGGGAACTAGATATTCTTTTGCGATGGATGGAGGAGACAGAATAAGAGGAAAGTGAGGCTACAGAGAATGCTCCTGGCCAAGAGTCCCAACCCCTCAGCGTCACAGAGACATGGCTGAAGCCACTGCCTCCTTGCCCTATAGTTAATTCAGTGCTGGTCACAGTGCCTATGATTTCTTTCTCTCTCTCTGTCATTGTCTCTAAATGCCCAATCTTAATTTGGACCATATCTTTCTAAGAGTTTTAGAACATTTAATGTTGAATGTATTTATTCATTAATATATTTATTTATTTTTTTTGTTGAACTTATTTATTTTTGTACTTGAACAGGAGACTGTAAATACAGATTGTATTTATAACTTGACTAGAACAAAGGATTTTTTTTTTTTTTTGCAGTTCTGGATATTGAACTCAGGACCTTGCGCTTGCCAGGCAAGTGCTTATTCTACAGAACTATCTTTCCAGCCCAGAACAAAGGATTTTTTTTTATAAGTCAATAAGTTCTAAAAGAGTGGCTAGTCATTTTTATTAAATCAAAGGCTTACTTATTTATTGCCAATGTTCTATGAGATATATAAAATTAAACTAATGACTACTTATTGCGGGTTATGGCTGAAGATGTTCTCATTTGAGTTTACAATTACTGAGCATCTCCACCCAATGACCAAACCTGTCCTTGTGTACCTCCTGGCCCTGACACCCTGCACAGTCTACATGCATTTATACAAATAAAGTTTCCTTTGCATAGTATCTGCTCGGTATTGGAAAATGTTTCCAAAGAGAAGCGATGTTGAGACTGAGGCTGACCCTTCTTTCTCTCTGGGGAGACTGGGAGCCAGGTCTTCTTTCTTAAACAAACCCACTGCCAGCTTGCATCTCAGATTTCAGGGCTGCCCTCTGCCTAAGAGGACTGTGAGGGGTGGGGTGCCTGGGCTGGCTCCGCCCTCACCTGCTTGGTTTGCAGCCCACCCTCAGCATCTTCTTTTTCTTCCCACTCTGGCTCCCACACTCTTGCCTCAGGAGTTTGCTCAGTGACACCCAGCACTCAGGGTGTGGGGCTCTATTATAAGAGTTAAGAGTGCCGGGTGTGGGCTGTAGTTCCACACTCTTGCCTGCACAGGGCTAAGAGTCCTCTTTTGATTTCCTCCCATTGTGGATTCTGTCCCATTCTAGAGTTTAAGCGATTGCATGAACAAGTCTCCAAATATTCAGGCAAAGTTTTTTATTTATTTATTTTTTATTAATTTTATTGAGAAACAAATAGCAACGAGACAGTTTCAAAACAAGTTAGTAGGACAGTTTCAATAATTAAGACATTGCTTATTGTTGTCTTTGTAGTGGTTATTCATAGTACAAGATGCAGACATGATATCCTGTCCAAATACTATTAGTGCAAATCTTTCTTCTCATTGCATCAAGAGAAAGTAGCTGTATATCTATCCTAACTATTTTGTATATACAGATACAAAAGGGTTCTTCATTTATATCCTCCCCTTTGTTTTAGATTTGTCAGAGATTGGTAATCCATTGCCATGTAAATACTGTAGGTGCATGAATTCGGCAAAATAATCCAATATAGTCCAGTAGTCCATAATAGTAGTGGGTTACCAATAGGACTGGCAACGTCACAAGTTGTTGACTTGAGCCTTTTACAGCTCAGCATATTAATATGGCTTTACTTTTTCAGGCAAAGTGTTTCACTGAGGCTGTCTCCACGTTGTGCTTCCCTGCTTCCCAGGAGCCTGGAGTTCTGAGCTGGCCTGGTTTGCTTCTTGCCCCCTCTTCCCCCTGAGCTGCACCCCAGCTGTGGCCTAGATTTCTCAATCTCAGAGTAACAGTCTGGAGTGACGTCCTTGCTTCTACAGCAGGCATTTTTACTGTCTCTAATATCTGTTCCTTCTCTTTAAGCTTTCACCCCAATATGCAGTTAATGACTTCATTGTTTTTTCCCCTTCACTACATGATTTTTCTACTCAACAGAAAAAAAAGGAAATACAGAAAAATATAAAATACAGAGAAAATTAAAATCACCCATCATCTCCCTCCTCATAGTTAACTACTTTTAAACACATATGTGTATTTTTCCAGATCTTTTTTCTTAGGTTCTCATGACCAATGCGAGCTAAGGTTTCAAAGCTGAACGTCTTAGAATTGAGTTTCTTCTTTAGGAAAGCAGGATGGTGACATCTTTCCAGGTGATTTTTTAAAAAAGCATTTTTTCCTTCCCCTGCTTAGAACCCATTTGTCATCCATCTTCCATCAGATTTTCACCCCGTTTTGCCTCTCTTCGACCAGATTTTTCAGCTGCTCAGCTCCTGCTTCTCTTCGACTGCCTGATGTATAACTTGGCTTTCATTCTAGAGCAATAAGGATTGAGAAGCCAGTTGCACAGAGCTTGGTATTAAAATTTCGGACCACTAGTCTGGGCGTGGTGATGCATGCCTGTAATCCCACCCTTGGGGAGGCTGAGGACAGAAGGATCACGAGGAGTCTGAGCTGTGTAGCGAGACCTTGTACCAAATACAGAAAAAATACATAAATAAGTAAAATGAAATAAAATAAAACTTAGGACCACTGCCTCCAAGAGAGGTTGGATGGCAGGGAGGAGGCTGGCTTTGCCTGACAAGGTGTTGGGTCTTCAGGTGGGTAGATCTGCTCTCACGCCAGGCACTAAGGGCTATGATTCTCCTTTTGTTTCCCCCAGAGCATTTTTGACTCCTTTGGGAGTCTGGGCAGTGGAAATTCCATCCCTTGGGAGCTCCCTGGTACCATTGGTTTGTTACCTTTTTTTGCCTATTACTTGTTCCCTGTGCAGGACCTATCTCCTCCAAATCCCCCGTCTCTTCTTTGTTTGACTCACTCAGTAAGAATGATAGGAAATTCAACAACAGACAGGTGAACCAGATTGGGGATTAAGTGACAACTCCATGAAGGTAGGGCTCTAAAGGAAGTTTCATGATGTCCCTTCCAGCGACACTGCAGTCATTTTTCCTTCTCTTCGGCTTCACTCTGTAGTTTCAGATTGCACACATCAGACTGCCTGGTCTGCAAATTTTAAATGAGAAATCCCAGAAATAACTCATAAGTTTCAAATGACTTTTTATCCTGTATAGCTAAAACTGGTTCTATTGTATATGAGTTATTGTAAATCTTTTACTGTGTCTGATTTGTACATTAAGCCTTAATCAAAAGATGAGTGCACAGGAAAAAATACAGCCTATAGTCAGTGCTCTGCCTGTGAGAGCTCTGAGCCCACATATCCTCCTGACTGTTGCTCAGAAAAATTTGGACAAAAAGTGGGTCAGTACTGAACATATATAGCCTTTGTTTTCACTATTCTTTAAACAGAACAACAGCTTAATTAGTTAGACAGCAATTACACTGTATTAGGTACTATAAGAGGTGACATAAAGTATATGGACGTGCATAAACTCTATGCAAACACTGAGCTGCTTTATTCAAGGGACTTAAGTAGCCATGGATTTGGGGAGCCTTGTGGTAGATGAGGAACTGAAATTAACCCCCCAAAAAACTGAGGGATGACTGCATATAGACCATAGTTCAGTGCTACTCTATGTTTCAGCTATCTAATGGAGTTTTGGAATATGTCCTTTGAAGATGAGAGGGGACAACTGTAAAATGGCTGTTGTTTATCAATCACTTATCATGTAGCAGGGACTGTAATGAGAATTTCACATATGTTATGTTATCCAATCCTTAAAACAGCCCCATGAAATTAGTGATATTTTTACATATAGTGACAATGTGCTTTGAGTGGTGAGTAATCTTTGCAAGATTTCACACCTAATAGAGAACAGAGCTAAGGCAGGAGGCAGGCAGCCTGCTCTCATGGCCCTGCCTACTTTCCCACTCCACTGTTCTCTTTCCTAACAATGGGATCTTGTGTTCAGGAGCACAGTGGAAAAAAAACAATGAAGTTTGTCTTCTGAGGGATGAGGGAAAATCCTGGTTTTGACCTTCATTACTGCAGACCAGGGACATGAGCATCCTCCATTCCTTTATTTACAAAATGGTGATCTATTGCTTACCACACTGGATTAATGTAAGCACTAAGAGAGACTGTAACTACTAATTTGTAGACATCCTCATTATGAGTCAGGTGCTGTCCCAAATGCCTGCTGCTTTAGTTTAAACAAAAGCAGGAAGAGATAGTGATTATTATTGCTATTTCACCTGCAGTGAAGGGACATAAAGCGTCTTACTTAATTTCACACAGCAACAAATGACAGGGTAGGGAGGCTGAAGACCTGCACTCTGCCCTCCTCATGTAGCAGGAGGAGGTGTGCAGCACTGGACCAGCAGTGGCTGGCTATGTCACAAGAAAGTGTGGCATCTTCCTCCCAAGCAGTAGGACTAACCATTATCTTCCCAGTGCCACTTATCACTATGACATCTGCCTTGACTGTAGTCTAAACCTCATCTTCTCAACAAGCAGAAGGTGCATTCTTCTGGAGATGAAAAGATAAGTAGGTGACCTTGCAGGCTGGCCTGTCAACTCCAGCTAACTCTGTCAACTCTGGATAAGCCAGAGTCTATGAAGCGATAATCCCAGAGCAGCTGGCCCCAAATGGCCAGATCTTGATAGATGAACGACAGCTTTCCTAACTTCTGTCCTTGCTTCCAACTTAGAGTCAATCAGAGAGAGTCCAACGTGTATTCCTAATTGATTACACAGGTTGCCCTTCTTTTCAGATTACCTACCTACAGCTTCCCCATGCCAGCAACATCCAAACTGGGCACACTTCACACTGGCCCCTTTTCCACTTTAAAACTGTGCCATTCTTCTCAGGAATCTCCACCAAAATGCAGGTGATGGGGGATTAAGACCCAAGCCTGAAATGTCCCTGGGACTCCAGCCTCCGCAGAAGTCCAGCTTACCTCCCAGGAACCTAGGTTTGCTGTCTACAACCCTTGACTCCCTCCCTTCTTCTGGCCCTACTACCTCCTACTACCCCAACTACCGGACCTCTCCCATGAACTTTCCTTTAGAAAAGGCCAACCACTTCATCAAGGCCCAACTGACCA